CCTTCACCCCCCAAACTTTTTGCTTTGGCCATTCTTTCCCCCCCCCCCCACAAACCACTTCTTTACTTGGAATGGCTCCTAATCCTTATATATAATACTATTCAGAGTATAAGATGCACCCAAAGCATGCCTCTTATATTAATAGCAGCACAGTGAGTATATCTGCATCACAGTACTTATTACATTGCGCTATAAACTACTGTATCATTATCTATTTTCCTCCATCAGACTGGAAGCGTCTTAAAGATAGAGGTCATATCTTATTTGTCTTTGTAGTTCCGAAGTCTAGCTCATCATTTATCAAGGAATAGACACACATGTATACAAAGACTACCTCATCTGGCTAACCTCTCATCTCTTAACTAACACAATATGAGCAAAGAAAGAATGAGAAGTCACATTTAAAACACTGAAAGAACAAACATTTCAACCAAGAATACTATGGTCAGCAAGATTTTCCTTCAAATGGGAAGGAGAAATAAAATCAATCCCAAGTAAACAAAAAGTGGAAGAATTTAGACCAGTTCATCAAGAAATACTTGTGGGAATACTAGCTATATCAGGTAAATAAAAGGGAGATAGAAATAAGAGAACACAAAACACTAAGAAAATGGCTAACAAAATGGCAGGGATTATTCCACAAATATCAGTAATAATACTGAATGTTAATGGAATAAATTACCCAATTAAGAGATACAGATTAACTGAACAGATTAAAAAAAAAAAAAAAAAGAACAGGAGCCTCATATATGCTGCCTAAAGGAAATACATCTCACTGATAAAGACATGCATGTACCGAAAGTAAAGCACTAGAAAAAGTCATTTCATGCTAACAGAAACCAAAAGAGGGCTGCAAACCAGACTATGAAAGACAAACACTGTATATCCTTACTCAATATTTACCAAATGTCTATACTCTCTGGCAGAAATTGTAAGATTTAGACAGAGCATTGAGTAGGTCATGTGGCCAGCAAGTGGCACGGTGATTAAGGCGCTGGACTCCCACATGGCTGACTGCAGTTTGAGCACTAGACCTGGTGGCTTGCTTTCTCGCCTTCCCTCTCTTTCTCTCCTTCTCTGGTAAGCACATGTATCCTATAGCAAAATTTAAATAGTAATAAAATAAAATAAATAATTCTTAAAAAAAAAAACAGAGCAAGAGCGTGTAAGGGAGGGTGGATATGTAGGGATTAGGTAGGTAGGACATCTGTGAAGTACAGATGAAGTCAGAGGAAAAAGGAATGAAAAGGTAATCAGAATTGACAAGCACAAGAAAGAAACAAAAATCTATTTATTTCTAAAGCACAGAAGCATTGAGAAACACGTTAACAAAGGAAAATAATGCAGTAGGAAGAAAATATTGCTTTTTAAAATTTTGCACGTAAAATTTCTTAAAGGATTTCATGCAGAAGAGCATATTTTACAGACACAAGAATGTAAAGTTCTTTGTTGAAAATGATATATATGGTAGTATTTTTTATTTGATTGTCACGCACTACTTGCCTGCTTTGAAAAACTATTTTGGATGCTACGAAAATACACAATGATGGGGCCAGGAGGTGGCACGGTGCTTAAAGAATCAGACTCCCACATGGCTAACTGCCATTTTGAGTCCTGGACCATGCGGCCTGAAAATCACGCTGGGTATGTAAGTGCGCATGCATACATGCCCAAAATCCCAAGAGAAGAATGGAAGAGAAAGGACTGCAGGGTGGTCATCCACCCTGGGGAGTCATTTCTTACCTTCCCCTCTGTCTCTCTCTGGCAAGCACATGCACCCTATGGGGAAAAAAAAAAAAAAAAAAAAAAAAAAAAAGAAGAAGATATACAATGATTAAATAAGAAATAATAAAGTTTAAAGGAAATTAATTGCTTTTTAACTGATGAGATAGACCTATGGCATCAGTGAATCCAGTCATTCTAAAATTAAATATAAAGATCTTTAACTCTACCTTTGGCATAGGAAAATATTCTAGAAGTTATTACATTTGACATAATTAACACTGGAGATCACACAATATATAATAACTACTGTAGCACTCTCAAATTATGGCACATTAGGGATCAGCAGATGGAGTAATGGTTGCATCGCTGGACTCCCACGCAGTAGACCATGGTTCAAGTCCTAGACCTGATGGCTTAAACTCACATGGAGAGGAGAATGGAGGAGACAGGACTGCAGCATGGCCATCCCCCTGGGGGGCGTGATTTCTCACTTCCTGTCTTTCTGCCATGCACACACACCCTATAGAAAAAAATCTCTCCTAAAAAAAATATGGCATATTGAGAAAGGAAGTTCATTTACCATTGAACACTACGTAATGTAGCTGGCTAAAACGCTCCCATACCTCTAATTTGTTTTTCTCGGCAGCAGCTTGCAGAGAAGGAGAGGATACCAAAGGCTGAAGAGGAGCATCAGAGGAGGACATCTGTGGAGTACAGATGAAAAGTCAGAGGAAAAAGGAATGAAAAGGTAATCAGAATCGGCAAGCACAAGAAAGAAACAACAATCCATTTATTTCTAAAGCACAGAAGCATTTAGAAACATGTTAACAAAGGAAAATAATGCAGTAAGAAGAAAGTATTGCTTTTTAAAATTTTGCATGTACTATTTCTTAAAGGATTTCATGCAGAAGAGCATATGATTTAAAATGGATTTCACTAGGATATAAAATGTAAAATGAACTTAGTTAAGATCAGACCAAAAGTATGTGAAAAATAATTAACCTTCTTGGATAGTTCACTTTTAGTCAATATTATTTAAATACTAAATTCTAAAGCATGCAGACCCATGGTCCCAAGTAGTAGGGGATATGAGTTTGTTTTCACTTAAAACTTTCTAAAATGAAAAATAAGACAGCTGATACAGTAAAAGTTAATTAAAAGTTTCATCAACTGTTTAAGAAAAAAGGGCTGGGGGAAAATGGAGTGGATTAACGTAATATAACAGCTGAGCAGCCAACAGACTTATTATAAAGCAATTTATACACTTTCTTCTTTAAGATCAGCACAAAAACACTATTTCAAGTGCTGTACTTGCTGAATTATGCCAAAGCATTATAAAATGGTTATATATGCAGCAGAAGCAATTTATACATGAAAATGGGTTTCATCTAGAAGCTTTTTCACACATCTTCAGACCCAATTTTTACATGCAGAGTTGATCACTTTAATGGAAACATTATCTTCTGCTCTCTTTACTGCCAAAATATAACTAAAATACACTTATAAATACATAGTCAATCTTTGGAGCCATAAAAACTGACATCTCCGCATTGCCCTACCATTCTAATAGTGCCTATGAGAAATTTTTTAAAATAAAAGGTGCTATTACAGATAGGTCATTAAGTAATATCAAAACATTGCAAAATGACAAGTCCTTCTTCAATCTGCTTCTTATTAAGTTAGTTATAACAGTAATTCATGAACCTCAACGCAACACTATGAAGTTTAGGGTATTTTTTCCTTGCACCCTGTTGACTCTTATAATTGTGTAAACTAGCCGCTTAAGGACTACTCATGCAAATTACACAGAAATTACACAATACAAAGAAAAGTAGATTTTCCGCTAAAAAACAAGAAGTCAGAACTATGCCTTAATGGCTGGCTTAAAGCTGGCTTATCCAACTGGATACCTCCTACAGACCTTTAACTACTTACTTTACAGAGAAAGGAATCAAAAGGCATAAAATCATAAAATCAAAAAATGATCATGAATAAAAGACCTTTGCCCAGACTGACCTAAAACCCTAACATAAAAATATAAAAGCAGAGGGACCAGCAGGTGGCATGGTGGTTGGGGCGCTGGACTCTCCCACATGGCTGACCACAGTTTGATTCTCAGACCTGGTGGTTTGCTTTCTCACTTTCCCTCTCTCGCTCTCTCTGTGTTTCTCTCTGGTAAAATTAAAATAAATAAATGAATGAATAAAATTAAATAAATAATCTTTAAAAAATATATATATATATATAAAAGGGGAACAGAAGTAGGGAATTTAGTTACTTGCTTAGAAATCAGCAAGGTACAGTTAGCCCTCCATATCCACTGGTTCCATATCTCTGTATTCTACAAACTGTGGGTCAAAAATATTCAGAGAAAAAATCAGCTGTGACTGAACTGAACATGTAAAGACTTCTGTCTTGTCATTAATGCCCTAAGTAACATAACAACTATTGATATATTAGGTACTCTAAATAATCTAGAGATGATGTAAAGTATAGAAGCAGATGTGCATAGGTTATATCCAAGAATGTCATTTTACATAAGGGACTTCAGCACTACAGACTTTTATATTCACAGGGTTCCTGGAACCAATCCATTGTGGATACTGAGGGATGGTTGCTATTCACTGTAAAAGTGCTTATCTCCTTTTAAGATGACAAACTGACTTGGTCACTTTTAAAATTCAGAGTAAGAATATAAAAATAAATAGGTAATTATTAAACTTCTTAATGCAGAGAAAAGGGAAAAAAATAAAAGAAGAAGCAAAAATAGCTTAAATCCATGTTCCAGCTGTTAAAGAAAACAGAAACTTGTTCTGTAATAAAGACATTTGAAAAAGCAATGAATAGAACAGCAAGTGAGTAGATAAACCAACTATTGTATACCCAAACAATGAAATATTACTTTCCGATAAAAAAGGAATGAACTAATAGTACACACATAAACAGGGGTGAATTTCAGAAATGTGTTGAAAGAAATAAGTCAGATAAATAAAGAGTATGTAGAGTATAATACCATTCAAATAAATTATACCATTCATATAAATTTTGTAGAAAAGATAATCTACTGTGATTAAAGCAAATCACTAGTGGGATGTGCAGGTGATGTGATGGTCAAGGAGCTGGATCTCATGAGGCCAACTTCAGTTCAAGTCCTGGACCTAGTGGCTTGAAAGACATACTGGGTGTGAGTGTTTGCCCAAAATCCCAAGAGAAAAATGGAAGAGAAGGGATTGAGGCGTGGCCATCCTCCTGAAGAGGATGATTTCTCACTTTCCTTCTCTGTGGTGTGTGCATGCACTCTATGACAAAAATCTTAAAAAAAAAAAAAAAAAAAAGAAAGAAAGAAAAAAAGGCTAAAATGTGGTGGGATTAATCAAACAAAACTCTTGCCAGTGACCTAAAATCTTTTAGTTACATTCAAATATTCATTTCTTAATTACCCACTAGCTTAGAGTCATTTGTTGGCACCACCCTCCTCTTCCTTCACTAATTATCACAACAGTTTGTTATGTGCTGGGCACCTTCTAAGAATATAGCATGACTTATCCTATTTAATTTTTACAACAATATTATGAAATATGAAATGTAGATACCATGATCAGCCTTATTCTACAGAAGAGGAAATAGAAACTGTCATAGAAAGAAGCAACAAAGACAACAGCAAAAAAAGAAAAACAAACAAACCCAGAAACTCTGCTCTTTTACACTAAACCTAGCTCCCCAGTTTGCCACCTAAAGAGAGAGGGAGGGTTAGGGGAGGAAGAGAGACATGGCGAACGAGAAGCTGCTGGAGGAAATGAGCAAAGAAAGAGGCAGTTCAGCCTCATTTGGACCTGCGAGATCCGAAGCACTCATTTTACCACTGTGCTTCCTGTAGTTTATAGAAGTGGGGAAAGGGCAGACAAGATAGATTTCTGCAATGTTTCAAATTTTCCCTGCCATTTAGTGAATCAAAGAACAGCCAGGAAGAGCAGACCCATTCTGTATCACTGTGGTAGGCAGAATTCTAAGACAGTCACCAAGATTCCCAAACCTGTTGGCCTGCATGCTCTATGTGATGCCCTCCCCTGGATTGTGGATGGAACTGCGGACAAGATGGGTTTCACTTGCTTGATTATGGTGTTGCATGGCAAAGATGAATGAACCTAACACATGTGAAAGTACTTAACATACAAAATCTACTGATGATGATTAATCAAAAGGGAGATTATCTTTAATGAACCTGGCCTATTCAGGTGAGCCTTTATAAGGGGCCGAGCCCTACCTTAAAGAGGAGATTTGAAGTGTGAGAGAAACTGTACTAGTAGTCTTGAAAAAGTAAGCTGCCATATTATGAAAAGATGGGGTTATCTGGCAAGGACCTGAGGACCCTAGGAACTGGAAGAGGGCCCCAACATGGACACTTTGACTTCTTTCATAACAACTCTCAATACTTCCATCCCTCCTTTCTAAGATCTGTGCTAGCTGTCATCCTGGAGTAAAATATGGAGTGACAGATTGGCTGGTGAAGTCCCTCTGGATTACTCCTTAGTGTATTTGTTCATTCAGTCATGTAACAAACATCACTGAATATAAGCCATGCACAAAGCACTGAAATTGAAATGCTTTCTCCCAAACATTACCAACCATATACTATATCGTAAAGCAGAATGTGGTAACTGCTATAATAGAAGAATAGAAGTGCTAAGAGATGGGGCCAAAAGATGGAATGGAGGTTAAGGCACTGGATCCCACATAGCCAACTGCACAGTTCAAGACCTGATGGCTTGCAACCACACTAGGTGTGTGTGTGAGTGTGTGTGTGTGTGTTTGTGTGAGTGCATGCCCAAAATCTCAAGAGGAGTCTGGACAAGGGACTATGGCCACCCCCACCAGGATGACGGTAGGGAGACTTTTCACTTTCTCTCTCTCTCTCTCTCTCTGGGGCATGCATGTGCCCTATAGCAAAAACTAAAGTGCTATGGGGACACAGAATTTAGATAGCAGTAGTTCCTACTAGAAGAATTTTTAAAAGAGGTATATTTGAAATTATCCTTAATAGAAATGTAGGATTTCAGCAAAGAAGAAATGGGCTGATATGTAAGAAAGAAATATTGATAATGTAGGAAAGACATTCCCGTATACAGGGACATTTTCTCCCATCTGTGAAAAAGTGAGATGATAAAGGAGGAGAGTTCTAGAAAGAATTATTTGGTGTTTGGGAGTTGGTCCTTGTAAGATACCTAAGCCCAAGGGCTATGATGTGATCTAAGGCTCAGGGTTTTCTAACAAGCTCACCACTGGCAGAATACATTGGCTCTTGGCTGTAAAACTGAGGCCCCATGTTGTTACTAGCATGAAAGGTGTGGCTCAGCAAAAATGCAGCATTTCATTGTTGTTTTGACATGGTCTTTTGCTGTGTTACCCAGGCTGACCTCGAACTCACAAACCTCCTGCCTCAAATATCTGGGACTACCAGCACGTGCCACTACAACCAACTGGTAATTCAGAGGTTTTGTTTTTTTAAAGATTAAAAAGCTACTGTCTTAGAAACAGAGTCACCTTTAGGTTCTTACTAACACTCACATGAAGATTAAAAGTTACTCAAGGCATCTTTTTATTTCAGCAGACTACAACTAGTGTTCAAACTATCTCTCTTTAGGTATCCCCTTAAGTACTCTAGTATTCCTTAGGTACCTGAGATACAAGGTACTTATATTTTGCCTCGTATTATGATTTCTAAAAAAAAAAATCCTGTTCTGGAACCAGCAAACAGTTATGTCACTGGACTCACATAGTCGACCAGAGTTCAAGTCCCAGACCTAGGAGCTTAAAACTCTCACCGGGTACCTGTGCATGCATGACAAAAATCCTGAGAGGAGAACGGAAAAGAAGGGATTGCAACGTGGCCATCTCCCTGGGGAGTGTGGGGATGTCTCACTTTCTGTCTCTCTATGTCTCTCTGGCAAGAGCACACGCCCTATAGGAAAAAAATCTCTCTTAAAAAACAAACAAACAAACAAAAAACCTGTTCTTATCCCCACCATCATCAATCTCTATGAAAGCAAGAATGATGTCCTCTTTTAATACTCTAGGAAACTGCGAACATAAACATGTGATCAAAAATTATTTCAAATGAATGTTAAAGACAAAACACTGGGTATAATTCACAATAATACTCATGATTATTTGCACACTGATCACCATTAAAGAGGAAGAAATATTTTATTTATTTATTTATGTATTTGCCAGAGGCTAGGTAGACTCGCTGAAGAGAAACAGAGAGAGAAGAAAAGTGAGAAAGCACCTACCTCCTGCCGCAATCCCTTCTGCATTTCCTCCCAATTTTGGGCCTGCCCAGTACTGTACCTCTTAAGAGGGTGAGTCCAGGAATCTAACTGTGTAGTCCACCACGTGGAATCCAGATGCCCCAACCACCATGCTACCGCTGGCCCTGAAATACTTTAAACTTGCTAGTTTTTTTTTTAATCACCATGTTTGTTCTCTCTGTATAGACACACAGATGTATTCAACACATACACACATACACATACCTGCAGGCTTCATTGAATCATTTGAAAATGAGTTATACATACCATAACATTTAAGCCTTAGATATTTTATTTCACCACATCTCCTATGAATGAAGAAATTCTACTAACCAACCATATTAGTAGTTTCTCTTACTTAAGGGGAAAAACAGTCAACTCCATAACAATTGCCATCCAAACATAAACTGTTTTCCATTAATACAAAGAAATCATTTTCCAGATTGTTGCCCAGGTGAAAAAAAAAATACTGTAAGTTCAAATATAATTTTTTAAAAAAGCATTTAACACTTGATAGTTTTTAAAAAGACTGTTTAATATAAAGCAGTATATTTTTAAAATGATTTTTATTTAACTTTATTTTTTTGTTTATTTATTTATTTAAATTTGGCCAGGGAGGAAGGGAGGGGGGTGTGGGGGGAGAGAGAGAGACAGCAAGTCATGAGGCCCGGATGCGAACTGCAGCTAGCTATGTGGGAGTCCAGAGCCCTTAAACATCACACCACCTGCTGGCCTCTAAAGCAGTATGTTTTTAAAAATACACTAAAGTGATTTCTTGTTATGACTTATGAAAATACATCCTTGTACTTTATAAAGTTAGTCCTTTTTCCCCCAATAATGTTTAAAGCAGACTCAATTTTATGGACATCATAAATACCATTCTCAATATTGTCAATTTTTATCAATCATTCAACAAATTTCCTCTCTTACATCTAATGCAAATGCAACTCAAACTCTACCTTCAGGGGTATCTTTGTTCCAAAATATATATTCATGATACTTAAAAAAATTTTTTTTAACATTATTTTTCTCATGGTCAAAGGCAAGATATTAAAATACCTTTACTTTGTTAGGATTTGACTGAATTTTTTAGAACACTGCTCTCCACAAGTCACAAAGGAACCAGTTTGCACATAAAGTGAGATGAAAGGATTGTCTCTAAGTCACAGGACAGATGACTTCAAACACAAGGTTAACTGTTTTTTTAGCTATTAATCTGGGAATCAAAGGCCAAAAAAAAAGAGTTAAACAATAAAGGTAATTAGCTTTAAACTATTATTAACTATTGGATCATCAGAAAAGTCATGAGGCAGGGACCAGCAGATAGCATACTGGTTATGTCATTGGACTCCCACAGTCGACCATGGCTTGAGTCCCAAATCCGATGGCTTCAAACTCATGCAAAGCAGGTGTGTGTGTATGCCAAAAATCCTGAGAGGAGAATGGAGAAGGGATTGTGGAGTAGTCATCCCCCTTAGGGGGTGATGTCTCACTTTTTGTCTCTCTGTCTCTCTGGCGAGCACATGCGCCCTATAGCAAAAATCTCTCTTTAAGTAAAAAAGAAAAAAAAAAGGACCAGCAGATGGCATAATGGCTATGTCACCAGACTCCTATGTAGTCGACCACTGTTCAAGTCCCCTGCTGGCTTAAATTCACACAGGGCGCATGTGCGTGTGTACCCAAGATACTGAGAAGAGAATGGAGGAGAAGAGATTGTGGCAGGGCCACCCCCCCCCAGGTGGGGGGGGTGATTTCTTGCTTTCTGTCTGTCTCTCTCTGTCTTTCTGGTGAGCACACGCCCTATAGCGAAAACCTCTCCAACAAAAAAGAAAAAAGAAAAGTTATGATGCATTTTTTGCATAGAGACACATCATGACTTTTTCAATGACCCAACAGTGTGGGACAATTTAATCAGGGAAGAAAAAGAGCCTAAAAAGAAATAGCTAGTAATAATAACATATCTGGTTACTATAGTAAAGTCTCAACTCTTAAGAGTACCAAAATGCTTAATATTGGGTTGTTAGAAAAGTCATGATGCATTTTTGTATAGAAAAATATGTCATGACTTTTCCAGGACCCAATAACCAATTTAAAGGCAATGTCTTAATATACTCCTGGGCTATCTGTTTTACATCTCAACAGACCAACTAAGCTCTGAGGAGACAGATTTGCCTTTTTTCTTTTTTGTACACTTCCAGAATCTACTGAAATAATTTTCTCTCTCTCTTTTTTCAATGAGTATTTTATCATTGTGTAAATTTCATAAAATTAACTTAACTAAATGCCATGTAAGCAGTTTTAGACTCTTATTTAGAATATGATCCTTTTTGAAGCAGTTCTGCTTTGTAAGAGTTGAGTATTACGTGACCCAAAAAACAAAATCCATTATTCTCATATTTATTTGTTTTTAAGATTAGTTCATTTAATTAACTCACATATAATTACTTGTCTTCTGGTTTGTTCAAAGAGTAAGTCAGACATCTGCCCCAATTATGTCTGTCAAAGTAACTGGCCATAAAAACTCCAGCACCACATTCATCTGAAGGACACTCCCAACAAAGGCGACTAATGTTGCCATTCGCATCCACCTTGTTTTAGGACAGCCAGCTTAACCTTTCTATTAGACTTACTGTCCTTGGGAGTGGCCTAAGATTTCTTCCTTTCTTTAGCACCCACCACTATGAACTCTCAACCAGAGATGAAGAGTAGACTGAATGTTATAGTCAAAGGACACCTATGTTCCAGAAAAAAATTCCTTCCTTACCCTGAGTCTTAACCTTTACATTTTCTATTGTATCTGTATCCAATGGTTCAAACTCAAGAGTGATAGTCTTCCTAGTAAGTATTTTTCCAAAAATCTGCATGTTGGTGGTAATGCTACTATAGACGGCAGATCAGAAAAAAAAGACTTTATTCAAATATTTTTAAAAGATGCAGCTACATACTGGGTATTCATATTTTTTAGAATTTTAGAATATTTGCATAATAAAGTATCTTGCAGATAACTCAAAATTCACTTGAGTTTCACATGTATCTTATACACACAGCTTGAAGATAACTGTATACAATATGTTTTTTTAGATTGCAGCATTTTGGCTGTGATCTAATACATGAAGTCAGATTTGAAATTTTCCACCTTTTTTTTTTTTTTAAAGAGAGATTTTTCACTATAGGGTGAATGCACTCACTGGAGAGACAGAGAGACAGAAAGCCAGAAATCACCGCTCAGGGGGATGGCTATGCCATAATCCCTTCTCCTCCATTCTCCTCTTGGCATTTTGGGCATGCACCACACACAGCATAAGTTTTAAGTCTCTGAATTTGGGACACAAACCACAGTTGACTACATAGGACTCCAGTGACATAACTATTATACCCTCTGCTAATCCCAAATTGTCCACCTTTTTTATCACAGAGGTGCTCAAAATTTTTGAGTTTTGAAGCATTTCAGACTTCCATGCTCAGATTTTTACAATAAATAAACTAAGCTACATAGAATGTTAAGTTTGATCGGGCTACCCAATACCAATTGGTAAGAAAGAAAATTTTACTTACATTTGTCATAGCTATGGCATTCTTATCGTAGTATTTCTTCTTCTCATATTTATCTCTGATGAAAAACTCCACTGCTCTGAAAACAGGTAACTTAAGGAAAAGCGTGAGTTCAGTGACATGTACACTTCCCTTTATTCACTGCTCTCCACAAAGCCTTCACTCTAATTTCCCTTTTTTTTCAATCTCTCACATTATTTCTGCAACTAAATTCTATAGCCTGCTTTTCCTTCTCCCAAAGAAACTCTACCTCTTTGAAAAAATTTTCCCATTCAACCAAAAAAAAACCCCACCTTTGCCCAAAAAGAAAAGTAACTGAAGCTGGCAAGTGGCATAGTGGTTAAGGCACAGGACTCCCAAATGGCTGATCACAGTTCAAGTCCTGGATCAAGTGGCTTGAAATTCATGCCCTGGTGCGTGTACATATGTGCCCAAAGTCTTGAAAGGAGGATGAAGGAGAAGGGACTGCAACGTGGCCATCCCCCTGGGGAGTGATTTCTTCTTTCTGTCTTTATATCTCTGTCTCTCCAATGAGTACATGCACCCTCTAGCAAAACTCTCTCTCTAAAAAAAAAAAAAAAAAAAAAAGTAATCAACCACAACTCTTAATTCCCCTACCACTACCATCAAATTCTAAATCTGACTCCTGTTTATTTTGGGGTTTCCTTATAGACAGTGTGTGCTATAGGTTATAGTTACTTTGTTTCCTTTTACTACCTCCCACAACCCAGTAATGTATATATAACTATTTTTACATCAGAGTTAAATCAGCAACTTAAAAAGATTATGCAATTTTGATTCCAATACCTATGTTCTTTTCTACTACACGTGTTTTCTCTAGGTGTATTATATTGGATTCCTGTGTCTTACAAGAATAGTGGCCGTATTTTTCCTTGCAAAACTGAGTAATGAAGAAGTTGGGAAGCTAAAACAAAGATTTGTGCTGTTTAGTTTTCTGAAGTTCATGTACTAGCCTTATTTGTTGATAGAGTAACCTACTTACAGTGGAATGAATATTTAGTGTTATGTGACATAGACTTCTTTTTCCACCCACTGACTCATCACAGTCCACTAAAATGGAAATTTGTCTGTCTGGAAGTGTGTTCTTAACCTTATAAGTGCCATGAACCCTGCTAGTAGTCAGATAAGACCTATGAACTCCTTTCTGTGATAATTATTTTTCAAATTTACAAAATAAAACACATAAAAGTACATAGGAAACTAACTGTACTGAAATACAATCTCTCTGTGGCTCCCTTGGTTCCGATATTCTTCTATTCAAAGGAAAAGTTACCTGAGCAGTAAAATAATGTATTTTTAGTCAATAATTAGTCATTATAAGTTAATAGAGTCTTTCAAATTGACAGCTGACACAACAAGTAACAGAAAAGGCTGACAAATCATTTTTAGTAGATACTGAAGAACTCAGATATCATAAAAGTGCTCAAAGGGGGCCAGAATAGCAAGTAGGTTTTTCTGAGTATTGTTCAAAGTATACTACATATTAAAATTTGAAAAGATTCCACCATCCCCACTTATGAAATGTTTATGACTAAGAAAATATCATTGCTCATGGCCATAAAATTACTGTTAGAGCGAAAACTCATTAATATTTAAAATATAGAATATAAAATAATTTAGCCCAATAGTAAAATTAAAAAAAAAAAAGAAAACTATGATGGTTTTACAAATAGTGAATTTAAAAAATATAAACATTTTAAGTATATAGTCTTCTGGAGTTAAGAACAATAATAAGATCTGGTGAAATATGTTGCTCTGAGTTTTTAGAAATAACTGATATCAGTGAAATCTTAATTTATACTTATAATATCTTATAAAAATAATTTAAATACAGTTAAGAATCTGGTTTCTGCTTATGCCAGAAACCCTTTCAGAAATTACCTTAAGAAGTAAGTAAGTTTGGGGACCAGCAGTTAGCATAATGGTTTTGTCACTGGACTCTCATGTGGTCGACCATGGTTTGAGTCCCGGACCTGGTGGCTTAAACTCACGCCGGGCGTGTGTGCATGTGTGCCCAAGATCCTGAGAGGAGAATGGAGGAGAAGGGATTGCGGTATGGCCATACCCCCTGGGGGGGGATTTCTCATTTTCTGTCTCTCTCTGTTTTTCCGGTGAGTGCACACGTCCTATAGCAAAAACCTCTCAAAAAAAAAAAAGTTAGTAAGTTTTAAAATTTTATTAGACCAAAGTTGATCTGTTTATACATATTGTTTTAAAATAAAGCATTAGGGCACGAGAACTTACTAGAATCTTCCTAATTATTAACATAAAACATTACCACCATTAAATTTAAAATTCACTTTGAGGTGTGCTTTGCCATGACAGTCACCCAAGGAAGGACTGTGATTTACAGAACATTCTATGTCCTTGACTGTTCTCAGTTCCTACATACCACTTAGGGCAAGAATGTCTTACACAGTTCTTATATATTTTTGTATGAAGGTCCGAATGCAATCCAATTCTTCATTGCTAGTTCACCTTAAAGAAAAAAATTATTTATTACAAGGGTCGGCAAACTTTTCTTTTCCTTTTTATTTTTTTGAGAGGTTTTAGCTATAGGGCATGTGCACTTGCCAGAAGGGCAGAGAGAGACAGAGAGACAGAAAGCGAGAAATCAACCCCCGGGGGAATGGCCACACCACAAACCCTTCTCCTCCATTCTCCTCTTGGGATCTTGGGCATGCACATGCGCCCACCATTAGTTTAAGACACTGGGTCTAGGACTCAAACTGTGGTTGACTACATGGGAGTCCAGCAATATAGCCATTACACTATCTGCTGGTCCTGGCAAACTTTTTCTTAAAGGGCCAGATAGTAAATATTTTAAGCTTTGCAGAACAGTTAGTTGATCAATTTCAACCACTGTCTTTGTAGCTCCAAAGTGGCCACAGAAAATTCATAAATGAATGGAATGGCAGCATTCCAAGACATTTATATATATTTATAAATGTATAAATAAAACTTTATAAGTAGATAATATAAATACAAACTTTTTCAGAATAACACACACACACACACACACAGCACTTGGAACAGTATATAATAAATAGTAAGCACTCAATAAATGAATTGGGTTTTCATTTTTAATGTAACTTCATGCCTCAGTTTTGTCACTTTTAAAATGAGATAAGAAAGTCATCGTCTCGCAGTATTAATGAAGGAGTTAAATAAGTTAGTGTATGTAAAAAACAATGCATGGCACATAAAAGTGAATGCTATTTAAATTTTGGCTCTTGTTATGAATAAAGGTATTTTAATAAATAAACCTTTTTTTAAAAATTGGTTCCATGGCAGGGGTAGGAATTAGTTAACAGCTATCATGTTAAATCTTAGAGGAAATGAGAAACATAAAAAACATTTAAAAATGAATTTGGAGATCAGGAAATATTTATCTTCATTTTCCAGTTTCTAGATGTCAAGACCTAAGAACTTAGTTATACCACTGAAGCTAAAATATTAATACAACCAAAAAACTTAGAAATAGGATAATATATCTTCAGGGGATCAAACTTAAGAAAGAAGCTGAAAGGAGGATGTCTTGTGGTATACTGTGCCACCATAGGTTATGTACTTGTCCATAGGTATCAAGTGACACCACGCTAGAATAACGTAATTGTCTTCACACAAAAAGCATACATAAGGTAAGCACCAGGAAGCGATAACACATCATGATATCTTAAAATCCAGTGAAATACTTTCACGTACTCTGAATAATACTGTGGGTATAAAATAAAGTGCAGATTTATAAACAAAATATTTTCTCTTAGGTGACTGTGAATGCTTTGTGTAGTGAGGGTAGAACAACTGCAGGAAGGAGACAAGATGGAGAAAGGGGATTCCAGAGACTCACACAGACTGAGAATGGGAATTCTCCACACTAGAGACTGGACTGGAGAACTGGGCCAAGTGTGAGTAGCTGCAAACCAGGTAAGTCTTTAAGTGAGGAATGGCTGTAATAACAATTCAACTTTAAGAGGCTGACTTGGGGTTTAGTAAATAAACAACATCAGCATATCCCAGTCTTTCCCATGTCTGTATTTGCAAAGCATTCAGTTTACTACCTCTAGTTTTCCGTGTCTCCCAAACTAGCAATCGGTACTAAACATGCCCAGAAAAAATATAACATTACTACAAGCTTTACCTTCCAACATGTATCAGTATTTTAAGATTTTTTTCCTTCCTTTAAAGGTATCATTTGAAAGACACTTAAATTAATATCTTTTCCCAAAGAACAAATCTTCCACTTCCAGACACATACTATTGACAGCAGTAAAACTTGGAAAAGCTCAAAGGACGAGAATTGCTGATTAGCTTTGGTGCACAACAGATCTCATGGAACTGAAGTAATTAAAGTTTTTAGATAAGATAAAATATCCTAATAATGAAAAGCTTAATGTAAAGCATTATCATTTGTCCCGCACTAGCACATGCAGCCTATAATTAACCACATCCCACTTGAGAAATTATGCTTTCACAGCAGCTTTTGCATAACTTTTGTAAATTGTAAAGCTTTTAAAAAGTGACAAATCTTGTTAAGAAAGCAATGAGGTCCCACATTATGAGTTTAACTCAGTTTGGTTCCACTTGCCTCTAGGGACGAAATGACTATGTTTAAATATACAAAGTGCAGTGATGTTCAAAGAGCGGTAAGAAAGAGGGAGGAAACGAGAAAGGGAGGGATGGAGAGAGGAAGGAAGGTAACTGGTTTTCTTACTACCCTCCCTGATAAAACCTCCGAAACAGTGTTTCATAATTAAAAGAAGAAATGATAAAAGTGCTATTGTAATAACCAAGGTAATTTTTTGACTATAGTATTACATTAAATATGGGGGCTAGCCTCAAGATCCAAGAATTGTGATCTTATATCTTAATATTAGTTAGTAGTCATCTTCTCAAATATACTGGGTTGTCAGAAAAGTCATGACATGTTTTTTCTAGGTTTTTCTATGCAAAAAATTCATCATGACTTTTCCAACAACCCAATTTAGACAAAGTCTCTCTTTAAAGAATTTCCAACAGGCATTAAATCATCTTTTTGTGAACAATAAAAGACCAACATCTCTATAAATATTACCATAATGCATAAATGCTATGGAAAAAGTATTATTTAATTTGAAAAATCAAATAAGTATGCAAGAGCTAATAACAGCAAACATATCCATAATTCAAAAGCCTAACAGGAATTATATCAGGCACTGTAGACCTGAAAAATAATCAGATTTAGACCTTAAGATAAAGTTTCAATGAGCACCAAACTATAATATCTACTAGGCCACTGGGAAAGGCATGATGGGTTTTTCTATGCAAAAATGTGTCATGACTTTTCTGATGACCAATATTTTTATTTCATTTGCCAGAGGGTACATTTCCTTGCTAGAGAGAAAGAAAGAAAAAGTGAGAAAGCAACCCGCCCCCATAGGGGATGGTCACACTGCAATCTCTTCTCCATTTATCATTCCTTTTGAGATCTTGGGCATGCATGCATACATACCCGGTGTGCTTTCCAAGATCCAGCTGAGGGACTTGAATCATGCGGTCAATCATATGGGATTCTGTTGCCTTAAGCAACACCACTGGTTGGCCCAATACTATCTATGTTTAATGGCCATCAAAACTCAAGTGTGGCAACTTATTTTTTTTTTCCCACACTGCAATCATTAAATAATATTTAAGTGCTCTTACATGGATAAAAATCTGGCAGCTTTGGGAGGTTCTTTAAAAGTTCTTTGAGTATCCTCCCACCCAAAAAAGAAAATATTATCCTCTATCTGGTTGAGTTATTTTGAGATTAGAAAACATACTGTATATACAATGCTAATCTCAATACTTGTTATACTATATTAATAGTTAACATATAATTAATCTTTAAAAAAACATTTTATTTTCAAAACTACAAATGTTACCAATAGGCAAAATCTAAAAACCTACAATCAATTAGATAATCTTATTTACAAAGCAGCACAATTTTGAGGAGCTGGTTTCTCAAACTTCAAAGTGAATTTCAGAAATCCTATAGAGGCGTGGTACCAGCAGGTAGCTTGATGGTTGAGGTACTAGACTCACATATGGCAGACTGCAGTTCAAGTCTGGGGTCTGGCGGCGTGCTTTCTCACTTTCCTCTTTCTCTCTCTGGTGAGTGCATGTACTCTAAAGCAAATTAAAATAATAATAAAATGGTAATGATAATAAAATAAAATTTTTAAAGAAAGAAATCCTATAGAGGAGACCAGTATGGTTAAGACGTTGTACTTCCCCATTGCTGAATGTGGTTTGAGTCTGGTGGCTTGCTTTCTCACTTTCTCTCCCTCTCTCTCTGTCTCTCTCTAGTGAGAGCATGTGACCTATAGCAAATTTTAAAACTTATTGAAGTTAAATAAATAATTCTTAAAAAAAAGATGCAGAAAATACATTAGAGATCACATATGGCATGCAAAGATTAAAATATAAAAAGAAATAAAAAGAAGTCCTATATAGTTAAATGATTTTACATTTAATAAATGTGAAACACATCCTGACTAAAATCCCTGGGGGAAAAATATTCAATTTATATTCATAAAAGCAGATCTGTAAAGCAAACAGTTGTGTAACCTGTGACAAATAAGAAATGTCAGTAGTAAATATTAGCATAAATAATTCAGTACTTAAAACCAAATATATAATTTGTCTTTTAAATGTATAAATACCAAACAGCTACATATAAATATAATTGCTATTTAAAGGAAATCAGAGAATATCTCCATAGAAGTGATTTTATTAAACATTTATTTATTTATTCATTTGTTGTAATTTTCAAGTCACAGGGTCTGGGACTCAAACTGCACTCAGTCATGTGGGAATCCAGTGCCTTAAGAACCCCTAACATCTGCTGGCCCTAGAAGTGATTCTTTTAATAGAATGCTTAAAAATCAAATCTCTAAATAATGATCTAAAATAATAAACAATATATATCCTCCAACCAAGAGATGAAGATCAATCAAGAAGAAATTAGTTATAACATTTTATACACAGTAACGATTACATAAAAATAGTGTATATCATATATTAACAAATTCCTATTCAAAACCTATTATGCAGAAAATGATAATTTAATAAAATGTACTATACACAAAGCACAGCTCAGGGCACGTCAACTTCTATCTTTAAAAAACAATAATGTGATAAAGTTCATATCTTCCTAAATGCTAATAGATAAAATATGAGTTGTAAAAATGAGTTAGTTCTTTTAACCCCATAATAAAGAAGTTTGAAAGGATACTGATCTGTCTGTGGCCTTCGAAAGTTCTCTGGAAGATTGGCTTCATAGAGTAGTCTTGCTTTAGTGTTTCCCATATCTTGCATGCACTAGAATTAAAAAAAAAAAAAAATCAAGAAATTTCATTACTTACATGAATACTAGAAAGTAATTCCTATACACATATATGTGTGTGTACACACACACATATTTATAAAAGCCAAGTAATACTTGTTATTTCCAATATATATATATTATTTTCCTTAGAAAAGTAATTTAAATTACAACTATGAAATTAATTACTCAAGTCAGAAAAAGAAATATATTTTTTATCCTTCACATTCATCAACATTTTGTGGATCAACTGTTTTCTAAATGTCTTTTGCTATGAAAACAATACCACTTTTATCGTCATTACTTCCTATATGTGAATTCCCTGGTAGCTTGACACAGTTTTACTATTTTTTTTAAATATACCACTTGAACAATGCCACCAGTTACAGCTAACAACTCAAGGTCAAATTTTCTTTTGGGCTTCAGAATACTCTGGGACTCCCACGATTTATAATCAAGATCACAATGGAGGCCAGGTTAAAGGAAAATTGGGCTAATCTAGAACTCTATAGAGTTCTAGAGATTATTAACCCTTTTGCAATTTGGCTGAAAGTTTTCTCCATTTAAAAAAATAAAAATTGTGCCTAATGACCAAAGTTTATATACAAGTTCAGTTGTTCATAGAACAATCGCCCTAAAATCTATAAACTCCAAAAGTAAAAATCACTGCCAAGGAGACACAAAACAATTTGATAATCATTTCAACCAGTTTTAGCAACATCTGTGAGTAATTACTAGCTAAACAGTACTTCCTTGCTTTCACTCTATAGAAAGTAAATGTAAGATTTATAAGTAAAACATTTTACATAGAGATTGAGCTCCTTAAAATGCCTTTATTAGTAAAGAGATCACCGCTTCATAATTTCTTTTTTTCCTGATTCCCCCAAAATATACACCTGTAAGAAGACAGTCCAGGTTTAACAGATTACCCTATGTCAACTGTGAATTGCAGTCCTTAAGTGTACACAGAACTACTGTCTTTCAGATAAAAATAGGGGTATTCTTGTATTTGGGAGTGACTTTTCTCCCAATAGAGAGTTTTAAGGTACACAAATTCCTCGGGACCAGCAGATGGCGTGACGGTTATGCTGCTGGACTCTCACGTAGTAGATCGTGGTTCGAGTCCCAGACCCAGTGGCTTCAAACTCACACCAGGCATGTGTGGATGTCCATCCAAAATCCTGAGAGGAGAATGGAGAAAGATTGTGGCATGGCCATCCCCTCTGGGAGGTGATTTCTCGCTTTCTGTCTCTCTGGTGAGTACACGCACTCTATAGCAAAAATCTCTCAAAAAAAATCTTTCTCACAAAATTCCAATATACACTTACTTCTGAGTATTTATTCCACCTCACCTCAATATAAGTACTTCCTCAGAGTAAACTAGATTTCCAAGTTATTCCTCTAAAGATACTGAGAAAGTAATAAGTAAGTAAAAAGGATAAAAAAAAAAAAAAAGAAATTAAGGGTATCTATCATTTAGCCCAACGGATTAATAATAACTGGGACAAAATAAACCTGAGTTTTAAAACTGTGTGAGATAGGTGCCATGGTGGTTAAGGTGCTGGATTCCCACATGGCCAACCACAATTCGAGTCCTGGGCCTGGTGGTTGGAAAATCATGCCAGGCACACATGTGCCTGTGTGCCCAAAATCCCTACAGGAAAATGGAGAAGGAATTACAGAGTGGTAAATCCCAACCCCTCACCCCCCACCCCCACCCAGAGGATGATTTCTTAACTTTCTCTCTTTCTGTCTCTGTCTTTCTCTGGCGAGTACATGTGCCCTATTGAAAAGTGCTTTAAAAAAAAAAATTGTGTACTATTAAAAAAGAAAATGCTGCATAAAGGTAAAATGAGAATAGGTCATGGGGCCCTATTACATCATTGTATAAAACAACCTGAAATTAAGATGTGTAGATCTAGTATGTGGTTCTGTGTGTGGGGAAAAGAAATTTAAAAACTCAGTATAGCTCACCCTTCCTGAAAAGAGAAAATATGTCATCTCAAGCACTGAAATTGTGTTGCACAGTAACAGTGAGGATTTGGAAGTAGAGAGAATCAACATTTTACGTGTGTGTGTGTGTGTGTGTGTGTGTGTGTACATATTTTTTTAAAGAGATTTTTGCTACAGTGCATGTACATTTGCTGGAAAGACAGAGATACAGAAAGCAAGAAATAACCTCCCTCCCCCAGGGGATGGTCATGCCACAATCCCTTCTCCTTCATTCTCCTCTCTCAGGAGTTTGGGCACAGTTTTAAGCCATCTGGTCTGGGACTTGAACTGTGGTCGACTATGTGGGAGTCTAGCGATGTAACCATTATGCTATCTGCTGGTCCCATCAACTAATATATTAATAAAGAGAGCAAACATCTGGATAAAACTAGACCAAGAAAAAGGTGCTTCTTATTTTTACAATATCTATAATAATAAGGCACTGAAACTGTGAAAGGAAGAAAATTTTAAGAGTTTCTATCAAGCAAGAGTATACATGGAAATTTTGACAGAAAAGTTACTAAGATTAAAAACAGTCTCTATTATACATAGCATATTTCATCAGTCCTGTTACATTTTTTCATATTTTAACATCTTAGAGATAGGAATTCATCTTATAATTTGTGGTGTCTTATAACTGAAAGTTTTCTTATTAGTCCATAAAAGGGATATACTTAAGACCAGCAGCAATATTTATATTCAATAGGTATGATCGTACATTCTTATCTAATTTAGGTCATTAATATCTTATCCTGGAAAAATAAAAAATAATTGGGAACAAGGCTTATATGCACATTATACCAAATCATTTAACACTGTTCTAGTGATGTTACCCATCATAATTAGACATCAGGAAAAACAAGACATAAAATACTGACAAGGAAAGATAATGTGAAATAATGAGCCATTTCTACAGGAGACCACTGTCAAAAAATAACTGGGTACAGACAGGTGCACATGTGTGCATCCACTGAGATTAAGGAAACCAAAGATTCAGCGACACAGCTGGTGTATTATAGAAAGATCGATTGTGAGAAGAAAGAAGATACTGGTAAGTTTAGAAGAGAAAAGGAAGAAGAGAGAGGTTAGCATTGGGGGGATTGGAGATGCAAAGTAAGCAATTTCAAGATAAGAGTTAAGACAAAGGGGAAAAATAACAGGAGGTGGCATTTTGGAGAGGTGATAAGGAACATGCAACGAACTAGCTGTCCTCAAGATTTCAAGATACTGTAAGTAAGAACCCTACAGAACACTTAGGAAAATGTATTTTTCTGGTCCTAAATAGCAAACTGCCTGTTAGTAGCAGAAACAATGTTAAGAGTCACAGAGGGACAAGCATTAGCCTCAACACTTTATACATACACTTGCAATTTTAAATTTTAAAACTACTTTGAAACAGGAATTACTACCCAGATTTTACAGAAAGTACTGAATCTGCAACACATTAAATAATATGCCATTAAATAATGGTCCAGTCTCCATGACACGAGTCTTGACTGGACCAATACTAGCCATTGATAGATAATTTCATCCAATGGAAGTGGACTATGTCCCGCAGGGCTTACAAACAAGAGGTTCTGCTTTAGAAACTTAGTTTTCACTTTACAGATGAGCAAACTGAGACACAAAGAGGTGACAGGATTTTTCTGCTAGGTAATGCAATAAATCAATGACACAGCTGAGACTAGGATACATTTCACTCTCTCTTAATCCTCACCACCACTGTGTATAAGCTAGTCAAAATAAGTACCCAGGAAATTTCACAAGATTGAAGCATTCTGTAAGTGTTGCCTCTCTTATTATAATATCATTCTTGTTATTAAAGCACTGTTCCTTTTCTTTTGAAAATGCATTAGAAAATGCACTGACATAAAGGAGAACTGCAGTTGTAATTAATGATTCAATTAGGACTGGTTACCAAAAAAAGGCAAAAAAATTGGATGATAATTTTTCTTCTAAAAGAAAAAAACATTTTCTAAAAAATCTGTTGTAGGGTGTGTGCACGAGGGAGAGAGAGAGGAAGCACCCTCCTGGAGAGACGGTTATGCCATGATTTCGCCTCCTCTGTTCTCATGGGATTTGAGACACACAAGCACATGAGACTGACATGTTTTTCAAGCCACCAGACTGGGACTTAAACCATGCAGTTGGCCATGTGAGATTCAGCTGCCTTAACCACCATACCACTGGCTGGTCCAAACACTACTTGTAACCCATAGGAGATTCAAGTTATGGGCACTGAACTAGAATCATTACGCGTATCTTAACTTCTACTTTAGTTCCTGAGAACAAGCCAGACCTCAGTATCATGCACCATTCTAAAAAATTTAAATTTTATAAACCTGTTTTCATATCTCCAGTAAGAGGAATACTTGTATGGTTATTAAATAAACTATTAAGAATACAAAGATTGGGGAACCAACAGTTAGCATAATGGCTATGTCGCTGGACTCCCACGTAGTCGACCGTGGTTCGAGTCCCGGACCCAGTGGCTTAAAACTCATGCCGGGGGACCAGCAGTTAGCATAATGGCTATGTCACTGGACACCCACGTAGTCGACCGCGGTTCGCGTCCCGGACCCAGTGGCTTGAGACTCACGCCGGTGTGTGTGCATGTGTGCCCAAGATCCCGAGAGGAGAATGGAGGAGAAGGGATTGTGGCGTGGCCATCCCCCCTGGGGGGTGATTTCTCACTTTCTATCTCTCTGTCTCTGTCTGTCTGGCGAGAGCACGCGCCCTATAGCAAAATTAAAACTCACGCCGGGTGCATATGCATGCGTGCCCAAGATCCTGAGAAGAGAATGGAGGAGAAGGGACTGCGGTGTGGCCGTCCCCCCTGGGGGGGTGATTTCTTGCTTTCTGTCTCTCTGTCTCTCTCTGTCTGGTGAGCGCACGCACCCTATGGCAAAAATCTCTCCAGAAAAAAGAAAAAAAAAAGAATGCAAAGATTGGAACCAGCTAATGGTGCGATGGTTACGTCACCAGACTCCCACGTACCCCACTGCGGTTCAGGTCCCAGATCTGGTGTCTTAAAATTCACGCTGGGCACATGTGCATGTGAGCCTAAGATCCCAGAAGGAGAAAAAAGGAGGGGTTGCGGCGGCATGGTCATCCCACCCACCTGGGGTGGGAGGATGGATGTCTTGTTTTCTGTCTCTCTCGCAAGCACACAGGCCCTATAGCAAAACTCCCTTTAAAAAAAAAAAAAATAAAGAATACAAAGAACTTAGTAATTTTTAAAAATTGTTTGGCTTTACAAAAGTCTCATCAGGACCATCAGTTGGCATGATGGTTATGTCACTGGATTCCCATGAAGTCAACTGCAGTTTGAGTCCCATACCCGGCCAGTTATGCTGGACACATGTGTATGCATGCCCAAAATCCTGAGAAGAGACTAGAAGAGAAGGAATTGCTGCATGGCCATCCCCCTACCAGGGGGGTAGAGAACAACCAGGCTACAGACCCTTCTCCATTCTCCTCCTGGGATCCTAGGCAGGCACACACATGTGACCAGCCTGAATTTCAAGCCACCATGTCCAGGATTCAAACTGTTGTTGCCCATGTAGGAGTCCAACAACGTAATCACTATGCCATATGCTGGTCCCACATTCATTTTTACTTTAAGAAAAATATACTAATATATTGAGAAATAAGTCAACAATATATCTTGGTGCTACAATAAATACTAGTTAAATAAAATATATTTATAAATTAATTTTATTTACTTTTCCCATTAAACTCAGTCCATTCTCATTTTGCACATCACATGTAACTAGAAAGATGAAGTCTGTACTGTAATTTTTTCATTGATCCATCTTGATCCAAAATTACCACCACTATAATCATGAAAGAGATGGAATTGGTATAATAAACCACACTTAAGAATCTTAAAACTTATCATTACAAATATTTTGCCTTCATCAATTCATAATCTATGTGCTTTTGGTTTCTCTACACTAACCCAGAACATAGAAATACACTAGCCCAAAGATGGTGTATCATGTATCACTTGAGATTTAATATAAAAAAAAACTACACATCGAGCATACGTAATCTCAAAATCCAAAATTCAAAATGCCCTAAATCTGAAATTTTACAAGCACCAACACGATGCCACAAGTAGAAAATTCCACATTTGCCCTCGTGATGAGCTGCAAACACTGCAAAACAAAAATATTGCTTAAAATTATCTTCAGACTATGCATATAAAGTGTGCATGAAATGTACATGAAACATTCTGAAATCCAAAACAATCTGAAACACTACTGGTTCTAGGCATTTCAGATATGGGACCTTCATCCTGTATTTGAACTAAATTGTTGAAAATCATCTATATCCTAAAATACTGTCATCACAATCTAACATATGTAAAGTATCTTTTTTCTTTTGCCTTTTGCCTTTTTTCTTTCATTTCCAGAGGACATGTACACTTGCTGGAGACAGAGAAAGAGAGTGAAGGAAAATGAGAAAGCACCCGTCACAGATTTGGTCACACCACAATCCCTTCTCCATTTCTCCTGCCAGGATTTTTGAGCATATATGCACACATGCACAGCATGTTTTTCAAGCCTCCAGGTCCAGGAACTCAAACCTTGCAATCAGCCATGTGAGACCCTGTCGCCTTAACCACCATGCTATAGGCTGACCTGCATTTCTATTTTTGAAGCTTCCTAAGTATAAAACGTTCTACCCAACCCCAACTTTAGCACTAAAACCAAAACCTATGTTCTAAAACAGTTCTAAATGGTTAATGTTCTACAGAGACTGAAATGAATTTAGGTTGTGAATTAAAGTTTTTGTTGTTGTTGTTGTTATTGTTTAAATTATTTCTTTGCCATGATTTTTCAATCCACCCAGTCTGGGACTTGAACCGTGGCTGATCAAGTGGGATTCCAGTGCCTTAACCATAACATCACTTGATGATCCCATGAATTAAAGTTTTAATTGGCACTTGCCATATTTGTCTAATTTAATAATCTAAAATCACATTTTAAAAACTAAAAAAAAACCTAACAAATGTAAGAAAAAGTAGGAAAAGATAAAAAGAAAATAGGCAGAATCAGTAAATAGGCAAGCAAATGTAAAAAGAAATTTTATTTATTTTTATACAACAGTACAGGATGTATACAAAAAAAAAAATCACTGTTTTACGACAATGAGGCACCCATCTCTAGTGACAAAATAGTAATTAAGCAGCACACAAAGCAGTTTTACTGCAAACAGAGCCATGAGATAAAAGTGTGAAGAAAAGAGGAACAGGAACAGACAGAAAGGAAATATGGCCAAGTTTAAATCATTGTCACTATCAGGAAATAATCATTAAACATAATAAAAGGCAAAATAAACAACAGGTAAGTTGAAATTCCAAGTTAATGATTCAATCCCCTGAGAATAAAACTTGTAGAATATCTTGTTTTAATTTTCCAAAATCTTAGAAAACAATACTCTCTGAATATTACTTCAGGGTATGGTTTCTGTTTGTCATAGTCCAACCAAAGCCAAAGACAGTCCATCCCAGCCTCAACAGCTATGTGCATCTCCCCTTTTTCGGAGAACCTTCCTCCTCTGCAAAGTTTCCTGCACTTGTTCCTCAGATGCCAACAAGTGCCAGGTCAACAGCCATTCAGAGTAAATCATACTACTGTTATATCAGGAAGCTATCTACATAGTGTTCACAATGTGTGCATGTGCCTGCCATTGACTAGCTTGGGGATTTACTGGTTGGTTT